ACTAAACTAAACTAAACTAAACTAAACTAAACTAAACTAAACTAAACAAAACACCTTTATAACAATTGGGTTTTTAAATTGTGCATGTACCTTTGTGTGGGGGCTATGTGTATGCATGTATAGGTACACATGCCAAGCTGCATGCATGGAGGCTAGAGGACTTTCTGGAATATGTTCTTTTCTTCTTTATGTGGATTCCGTGGAATCAAACTCAGGTTGTCATGATTTCACGACAAATGCCTTTATTGGACGTTCCATCTTGCTGGGCCTATATTTTATTTTTATTGTCTCTTTAATGATTGTTTAAGTGCTATACCATTTAATATATATGCCTGTGTTTGTACTCCCGACATCCCGGAGGCTGAGGGAGAAGGAGTTGATAGTTCAAGGTCAGCCTGACCTAGTCAGGAGTGCAAGCCCTATAACAAACTCCTGTCTCAGAAAGCTCAAGGGCTGGAATGCTGGTCAGCAGGAGAGCATTTGCCTGGCTTGTGTGCTCCTGTGGGGGCAGGCTGTATGGAAAGGAAGTGCTTTGTGACTGAGTGTGTTAAAGCCATGGCCTTGCATCCTCTCCACCTAAAAGGTCAAGTGGGTTATATAGCCTGTTTCCTTGCTTGTATTATCTACGTCTGATTTTTTTTTTTTCTGTAAAGATACAAATTGTGGTAAAGTATGTATTTAAGCTTTGAAGCCTAAATTTACTGATATAAATAACAGAAATTTATAGAACATTCATTTAGATTTAAGTATTTTTTTTTAATTATAAAAAGACTCTTCTCAGTTGCTTTAAGAAGCATGCACTCTACCTGCCAGTAAATATGAATTAGTTTTGCTGACAAATGGGGAGATAAATCAGAAATGATGGTACATTATCTACTCATAGGTGTTTCAAGTATCTGGAAATGTTCTGCTGTTAAGCAGCTTGATTTATGCATGTTGTAGGAACACATTTATTCAGTTAATGCTTAATTGTCTATGGAACTCAATAACTATTTTTGCTATTGTAAATTCTTATATTTGCTGTATCTATACAAGGGAATCCAGCAGGAAATCACAAAGATGTACCATTTCCCTTTCTGTATTTTTGTTGCTGTCTTGAGTCTATGTCTTGATCTTCAACTTAAATTGGCCTTGAACTCCCTTAGGTAGCCCGTGTTGAACTTGCCATCCTTCTGCCTGAGCCTCCGGCGTGCTGTGATTACAGGCTGAGGTAATAGGCACCGACCACTCCTGCCCAACGTTCACTGCTGTGTGTGCACATTAACAAGTCCTAGCAGTTTCTGGTTGTGACCTGCCAGGCAAGGGAAGGAGCAGAGGAAGCAGGAAGCAGAGGCTTGGCAGAACCTGTGCATGCCTTTGACTCAAGTCTTGTTGGTAAATTGTTCTTTTCAGCAAACATGCAAAACATTGCTTTTCCCATAGCCAGGAACATTCTCTGTTGGTCTGTGTTTTCCCCATCTGTCCTGTGAAACAGCCATGGAGGGGCAGGGGCAGAGTGCTTTGAATGGCAGCAGTCATCAGAGACAGTAGACACAGCGTGATTGTGGAAAACAGCCAGTAACAGTTACTCGCTTATGCCGATACTTAGAGAAGGATGATCTGAAAGAAAGTCAGGTCTCTTAGCTAGGAGATAAAAGTTTTGAAGGTACCACACTTGAGAATATGAGTAAGGGCCACACAGATTTGAGAAAAAATTGATTTGAGAAACCTTGAGAAGAAAGCATTTGTTGGTGTGATGGTTTGAATAGGAATGGCCCCATAGACTCATGTGTTTGAATGCTTGGCTTATGGGCGGTGGCACCATCAGAAGATGTGGCCTTGTTGGAGGCACTGTAGCCTCGGAGGAAGTGTGTCACTGTGAGGGGGCGGGCTTTAAGGTCCTGTGCTCAAGCTATGCCCAGTGTAGCACCCAGTCTCCTCCTTCAGCACCATGGCTGCCTGTGTGCCACTGTCTTTCCCACCATGAAAAAATGGTCGAAAATTCTGAAACTGTAAGCCAGCCTCAGTTAAGCCTCTTACTCTTTGTAAGAGTAGCCGTGGTCATGGTGTCTCCCCACAGCAATAAAATCCAGACTAAGACACTCGGTTAAGAAAGACGTGTAAGAAAATTGGTTGATGTGAGATGTTTGCATGCTTACCAAAGATGTGCTGCTGTGGTGAGTAGGAGCCGCAAAAGTAGACACTGCGCTGCTCTTTCTAAAGAAGCAGGTGCTGAGGAGCCAGCGAGTTAGGTTTTACTGGGGTAGACATTACTTCCAAGTGCTCATTTCTCGTGGACTGAGAGAGAAGTGCATTTTCCCGTGTTCTGAAAACACTGTGGGAGGAAAAGGCTGCTGCTAGACCAGAGGCTCTCAGAAGGAGCTGTCTTCCCTTCACGAGTGTTCGTATCAAGGGCGGTGGGCACACTCCCCTCCGTTCCCAGACTCCGTTTCAGCATTCCGGTTAGGCAGCACCAACATTTTCATTGTGCTGCCTTAGCCAAGACATCGGTAAGCAAGGAGAGCATCATCTTCAGGGCTGGAAGTGTGAGGAAGCTGATAGTGCAGCAGCCTTTGAACCTTGCCCAGGCTGTGGCATGGCTTGAGAACTGGCCACTCTTCTGTGGGGAAGGTGAGTGGGGTGTGGGGTGGGAGGCAACCCTCTCTGGCTCCTTTCCTGTTCTCAGCTGCTGTTGTGAGAGGTAGAGAGAGCTTTGTGTCTCTGAGGGAACCCTTCAGTCTTGGAAAAATGTAGTTAGGCTCCAGGTCAGGTAGCTGGGTGTGATCTGCCCAAGGCTGCTGGATGCCATGCCTGGGCCGAGGGAGCAAGCGGGCTCTGCTGCCCAGGGACAGTCTAGTATGCGGGGTGGGCATGAGTCTGTTTGGGAGGCCCTGAAATGTAGCCGAATGGTAAAAGTAACCTGTGACTTGGTTCTAGCTCGTCCTTGCTTACAGTAAGTTGTGGCTTTGGCCGCTGTCAGGCCTCCCGGCTGGCAGTGATCTGACCCCATCCATCATTCTAGTTCGTTACTACGGAATGCAGCTTGAGCCATTGCTTCTCACACAGTGGCCTCTGTTTGGCCATGGAGCCACTCCCCCTGCCCCAGACTCTTCTCTGGTTTCTGGGTCATCATAGAAGTTGTGAACTTCCTTTCCACTGTGTTCTGCCAGGTTGTTAAACCTTCCATTCTCAGCCCCTTTAATAGCTAGCTGGACTTCCTAGCGCTAGGGTTACAGAGCTCGCAGCTGAGGTGGCTGAGAGCTGGCTTTGCCACTAACCTCCCAAGTTGCCCTACCCTTGGGCTGCACACACCTACACACATTGTGTGTCATCAAATATGTGCTGAATGGATCTTTGTCCTCATGAAAACTGTGAGAGAACGCCTTTCCCATTCTTCAAATAACAAATGAATAAGAGGCCTAAAATAGGTTGGCAGTTGCTCACACGACAGTGTTCGCTGAAGAGCCAAGTGCCCATTGACTGCAGACTGCCATAGCCTAGTGTGCTTCCAGCATGGCTAGTCACAACCTTTGAAGCAGAAGCTGAGGAAGGAGCAATGGAGGAATGGCATATAGTCATTTTGGCAGCCTGGGAAAGTTGGCGATGCCTGAGTTGTGGTTTTCCCCAGCTATAGGTACAGAGCTACCATTGCCTATTGTGTAGGGTTCTTGTGAGAACTAAATGGCACGCCTGGTGGCACTCCTGCCCAAAAGGGGGTATTTAATATCTTCTGATTATGGTTTAAGCTAGTCTGCAGTGAGACAACCCAGATTTGAATCCTGGCTTTGCCACTTCCCTGGCTTCTTCCTTCTCTTCACAGTAGCGCCCCTTTCTTCACAGGCCTTTTCACCAGGAGCTTGACTTGAGGGAGTTTACGCCAGGGTTAAAACCAGGGCCTGCAACACCATGTAAATGTCTGGTGTTACTGGGTATCGCCAGATTCTCATATCCTCCTCTAAGTTACGGTTACACTTCCTCACACAAGCCCTGTCTGAAGGCGGCAGTCATTTTCAAGGGGCGGAAACGAGGCGCAGTGATTGTGAGACTTCTGTTTTGAAGTCAGATTTCTGCCCACCTTTCCAACGCCCTCCTCCACCCCCACCCCCACCCTCAGCCCCAATACCCCTTGAAGCCGTTAGGACTGGCATGCTTGGGTGTATTCTTGGCAGGCTTTTACTGCTTACCCTGCTCTGCCTCATGAAGTGTGTGTCTGGGAGGGCACGACACTTGGTCTTGAAGGAGCTGACATGGAAAAAGCAGGACTTCTCGGTGATTTCCGTGAGTGTGGTCTCTGCAGTAAAGCTCGCTTCTGTTTCTGCTGTGATTTGGGGGTGGTAGGGAGTATTCACTCATAATGGCAGGGTTCGTTTCTTGACTATAACTTTAGTTCCTCTAGGAGGAACTAGAACTCATTTTCTCTGTGTAATGATACTGACGGATAGCATCTAGCCACTGCACTGGGTAGGCAGGCCACGGGGTTGGTTATTGAGTGGTGACAGTGTTTGGAAGTAATGTGTGCCGTGCCTTAATTTTGTGTGGTCCAAATTTGTTCCGTAGGAAGCCTGCGGTCTTGCAGTTCTTCGGACTGCTTTAGTAAAGTGATGCCACCAAGGAAGAAGAGGAGACCTGCCTCCGGGGATGATTTATCTGCCAAGAAAAGCAGGCACGACAGGTAGGGTGAAGGCCACTGACCCAGAGCATGCCTCATGCAGTGAAGGGGCATTGTTGCAGGCAAATGCTGGCCAGAGTCCTCCAGGATTTCTTTCTGTGGATGGCACCTCAAAGTACAGCCATTTAAGCATGCTTATTTTATATCTTGGTTTGTAGAACTTAAGAAGAAAATAGGCAATGTTGAGTTGTTGGAAATTAGTTTTATCTAATCAGTTAATCCTGTGAAACTGGGTGACATCAGCTTCTTTTCATTGACGCATAGCTGGCAAAGCCTGTCAGGAGTGGGTGTCCGTCTTTTGGAGAGGGCCTCACTGGCTGCAGCCACAGGGCTAGAGCGAGGCAGCTTTTCAAGTGTCCTTCCCACCCGGAGTATTAGCCAGGAGAAATTTCTTTTCACAGGGCTGAGAATAGTAATGAGAACTAGAAAACAAGGTACTCAAATCACACCCAGACAGACCACTGCTAACTATGCTGATGCCAACGATGGCATGCTGCCAGTGGTTTTCTCAGGGATCTTTATTGTTTCGCCTTCATCTTAATCAGTAACTTTCCCTTTCATCACGTGACAAGTTTCATGCCTTGTCTTTTTTTTTTTTCCTTTCTTTCCCCATTTCTACTCTGAGTCATTTCATCAGCGGGCTGCAGTCTCCATCTTTTAGATGGAAGGAATTAGCTGATTTTTGTTCTTTTCCTGATGTTGCGCTTCATGTTTACAACTTGGTTGGAGGAGCACAGATGGACAGCAAAAATGAAAATAATGCCACAGTTAATATCTCAGCAGAAAATGTTACTCAGGAGAAGAGAGTGACTCTTAGGTTAATCACTAGCTATCTTCCGGCCAGTGGCTTTCAGTTTTACAAAGCTAAGTGCCTTGCTTTCAGGGAGCTGATAAATTCTCACACCCATGCAGACTTATGTGCTTTATTTTCCCACTATAATTCGGTATGATATTAATGTACTACAAAAAAGTCAGCTTAAAAACTGGCAATTCGGGTGACATTTTGAGTTTGATTCTTGGCCTTTTAATGACTTTATTTATGAACCATGAAGTTGATAAATTTTAAGTGTAATTCGGTTTGTTTTTTAAGTTAAGGGAGGTGTACAAACTGTCCTTACAACCCAGTGTTGGAACATCTTCACTGTCCCAGTCAGTGCCTCCCAGCCCCAGGCAAGTGCGCATCTTTATGTCAGCATGGCCTGGCCTTTACAGCATCTCATCTAAGTGGTCTTATGTGTTCCATGTCTTACAGTCAGCGTAATGCTTTTGAGGTTCATCTTATGATCAATGTGCACCAATGTTTTGTTTCTTTTAGCTACCGCATTATTTTTCCATTGTATAGTTTTGGGCAAGTTTTATTTTTAGGGAATTCTTATCTTATGCTGTCATCTCGTTGAACTACAAGTTTATTGACAATGACAGGCTCGGAGCTAAGAGAGAATGCTTGATCCCTTTCTCTTTGAACCCTCAACCTGTGTCCACTGCATCTCTAGCCAGGAAACCAACTTAATGTAGGAGAAAGGGAAGTTGGGGTTTGTAGTTTCCAGGTTAGATTCATCTGCCTTTGCCTGAGTGCTGGGATTAAAGGTGTATGCCACCACCACCTCAGGGTTTGTAGTTTCAATAACTTAATTCCTTCCAGTGTGATGTTCTCGAGATAATAGATGCCAGAATTTCTGTCAGAGGTCTGCACAGCTAATCAGTCATTGTCTGGGTCACAAATAAATGTCCATGAATAAATTCATGAGCAACTTATCTAATATCTTTATATTGTTATATAAATAAAATTATATCCATAAATATTAATGTCTGGGTATATATAGTAGGTTAAAATATATATACACTTTTGTATCTAACCCACATTTTGGCGCTCCTGCTCCTGTCTACTCTGTGGGGGAAGCTCTCCTCAGGCCTGTCACAAGGTGAGGGCCTCCTGTGCTTATAACCCATGCCTCTTGCCCTGGCTAACTAGCAGGCCTACAGTGGAGCAGGGATGCCAGGGACCTGTTCTCTCTCCTGAGGCTTCAGGCTTACGTTAAGCCATGATCCACCCAAGAGACTTTTTTCAGCCTTGCACCTGGTTTAGTTTTGTTCTGGAAGATTGGACCTGAGTTGATGTTTCTCTTTATTTGTGTAATATTTTCTGGCATCACTTACTACTGGCAAATTCCTCTTTAGCCTATGCCTGTGCTTAACCTGACTTTCAGGACACAGAAATCAGAAGAATTTGATGGAGAGATAGGAATAATTAATGTTTTTAAAGGAGCATTATTAATGCTTATTTCTTGTAGTGCGTTCTAGATAGTGAGGCAAAGTTATCAAATAACTATTCTATTTAAGTCTCATTGATTGTGGATAAGATAGTTGTATTAAGTGCTTACTGTTTAATTATTTTTTGCATTTTATTATTTTTATTTTTTATTATCATTTATTATAATTTATTCAGTTGTATCTCCGCTGTGGTCCCGTTCCTCGTCTCCTCCCAATTTCACCCTCCCTTCCTCTTCTGCCCCTATGCCTAAACCCTAGTCCACAGATAGGGGAGGTCCTTCTATCCTGACCTTAGCCTATCAGGTCTCATCAGGACTGGGTACATTGTCTTCCTCTGTGGCCTGGCAAGGCTGTATCCCCAGAGGAAGATGATCAGAGAGTCTGTCACTGAGTTCATGCCAGAGAAAGTCCCTGCTCACCTTACTAGGGACCCCACTTGGAGACTGAGCTGCTATGGGCTACATCTGTGCAGGGGTTCTAGGTTATCTCCATGCCTAGTCCTTGGTTGGAGTATCAGTCTCAGAAAAGACCCCTGGGCACAGATTTCTTAATTCTGTTGGTCTCCTTGTGGAGCCCCTGTCCTCTCCAGGTCTTTGTAGCTCCCCTTCTTTCATAAAATTCCCTGCACCCTGTCCAAAGTTTGGCTATGAGTCTCAGCCTCTGCTTCAATACCTCGATCAGTAGAGTCTTTCAGAGGCCCTCTGTGGAAGATTCCTGTCCTGTTCCAGGGAAAAAGGACTGGTTTAATTCTTTATTATAAAGTATATTTCATCACTAGTTAAGAAACTGCTAATGCTTGAAAATGCAGGAAGTAAAATGTTTAAAATATAGTTAAACACTGATTGAATAGGTGTCTGATTTTGGCCAAAGTGAAAATTACCTGCTACTTGAACCCAGTGTCTTTAAATAACACCAAACTGCTTTTTCAATTTGTAGCATGTACAGGAAGTACGAGTCGAGTAGGATAAAGACTGAAGAAGAGGCCTTCTCTAGTAAGCGCTGCCTGGAGTGGTTTTATGAATACGCAGGTAGGAAACGGCCTGTGTCATGTAAAACCGATCCTCGGGGAAATACGGAGCATCTTAGGAGAGAGTACAGAACTTTAAAGCATATACTTTTCACATTGTGTGTGTCTGTATCTGTGTGTATACGTTGGAGTGGGGGTGGGGCGGTGGCAGGAGAGGCAGAGAGGAAGAAAGGGATAGAGTTGGAGCCAATCACCAACTACCCTATTTATAGCCAGCAGCTAAGCCAGGAGTTCAGAACTCTAGACAGGAACTGAAAAGATGAAATGCGCTTGGGAGCAGCCCTCTGGATTGCTAAGACACCTAGTTAGACTACTGACGGTGGGTAATTGCTTGGTTTAAGCATCGAAGTTAAAAGAAGCTTTGCTGTTCTGAACTTCACTTTGCACTGAGGTTTCCTTATATCCAGTTCCTCTGTTTTCAAAGATCACCTGGCAGAAAATGTTTGTTTTGCCCCTTAAAATGTCTTGAAGTCCACCCACACTTCTGCAGCTTACTGTGACTGGCTGGGCAGCACAGTCACGGCACAGGTCCCGTGCCCTCTGCTGCTGAGAAGGGAGAGGAAGAATGTCATCTAGCCATACGTGTTTTGACCTTCCATCTTCCTTGCCAAATTTTAGGCCTTTTCACCATGGCTGTTAGACCATCTTCACACCCATCTTTCTGTCATCAGTCTTGGTTCTAGACCGACTCCCACATGTCTTTGGTCATCTTTACTTAGAAGTAAATAGAGCAGCTCACGTATGCCATTCTCGACATCCCCTCCCGACCTCGGCTCAACTGGCCCTCTGCTGGAATGCTGTCTCCGAGTTGCTATCTGACAGTCACTGCTCTTTCTGCTTCTTACAGTATTTCCTGATCAGCAGAATCTGGATTGGGGCTCCTGGATTACATTAGCTTACTGCCTTCTCTATACTTAAGTGTACACTTAAGTATAAATGTTACATTTTCCCTTTCCCCTCGCTCTCACTCCACCCTTCACTCTAATGAGAGTCTCGCCCTTTCCCCACAGAGACTGACCTGGGGGACCAGGTGTGCACTGGGAGAAGAGCATCTTCCTTGTGTGTGCATGTGCGTGCACACTCATGTGTATGCGTGTGTGTGTGTTCGCGCATGTGTGTGCTGTTGGAAGGACACAGCCCCGACTCCTTCAGTTTTCCCTCAGTGTCTTTGTGAAGTGCCTCTGTGCTGGTTGAATTCCCAGCTGGATTTCGTGTGCTGGGCACGGACACTGGTAGAAACCCTTTGGGGTACTGGAGTATATCGGTTTTCATGCTTGGTTACAACGTAAATCTTTGAAGACATGCTTAATTGGATGTAAAAGTAGTTGACAGTTTCCATAGGCTCCGAAACAGGCTGAGTGGATGAAAGTACTCCACATTCTGACTATGTTATGGGGAAACTTTGAATGCCTGTATTGAGTCACATTTAATTCTATGAAAATATGTTATAAAGTGGAATTTTCTTATTTCTTTTTTTTTTTTTCAAGACAAGGTTTCTCTGTAGCCTTGACTGTCCTGGACTCACTCTGTAGACCAGGCTGTCCTCAAACTCACAGACATCCGCCTGCCTCTGCTTCCCTAAGTGCTGGGATTTCAGGTGTGTGACACTGTACCCTACTACAGTGGAAATTTTAAACAAAACCTGGCATAAGAACACCGCTATTTTGGTTGTGTGCATGTGTGTATGTGTGTGTGTGTGTGCTTTAAAAGTAGATGAGTCTTTTTCTTTAAAAAAGAGGTCAGGATGGAATTGCCCTCTCGCTTTTCTTTGCTCTCAGAAGGTGACATCTTGGAAGTCAAAATATAGCCACATTATTTCAATCCCTTGGGGTCCCTGCTGGGGAACCGCAGAGACTGATCCCTGCACAGCTGGTGCGGGTGAGTTTATCCGTGTTTGTAGTCCCTGAGTACGCTTTCCTCATCTTTAGCCTTTTCTTCTTGTACCTTATCAGTAGGAAAAATGGCTTCAGATTGGGAATGACCGAAAGCCCCGCTTGGCACCACATTCACTTTGATTATCTCGGGCACACAAACTGGAAGAGCAGGTTGGTCACAGTCTGTGAGAAGTACCAGGGTAGACTTTGGTGTTCGCTATAGGATGCGTCTGTGCGTAAAGGCTGGGAGGGTCCATGAGGCTGGCCTTAGCAGGTGTGCTGGTTTGGGCTGAGGTCAGATACACGCTCCCTGCCTTTTAACCTGAAGTGAAGGTGGGCCTGGTAGGGCTTTGGGTAGCCTGGTTCACACGGATCCCTAGTCCTCTCCAGAGGCTGTAGTTCTGTTGCTGTTCTGCGGAACCCACAGCCCAAGTTCTGTTGCTGCTCTGAGGGAAAAAAAAAAGAAGAAAAAACCCTTTGTGAGTAAAGGGAAGACAGCAGCACAGAGAAAATGCTTCTCCTTGTAGAGATTGTGAGGAAGGGGCTGAGCTTGGGCAGGAAGTGATGCAGGCCCTTGCAGGAGGTTCTCCTGCAAGGCTCACATTTGTCTTGGGAAAACAGTGCTTTTCCTGTGGCTTAGTATTGAAACTCATGGCCTTGTATTGAAACTGCTCCCTTGACAGGGTCTGAGGTACCCCTGCCCCTTTTGTATCCCAACCAAGCACTGCCACAGTGCCTACTCTGTGACTTGTCTGATGAATGTTATTGATGAAACGGAGACATAGGAAGATGATACATTCTGCTGGCCCCAGTGGCTTACTAGATTCGGATGGCAAAGGAGGTTCTGAAAGGAACTCCCCTAGTTCACCCATTGAGTAAGTGCTAACTAAGCATTGCCGGGTTAATGCTGAGGCTGAAGGAGAATAAATAGGACTGGCTCTTGAACTTTCAGGAAAGGGAGTATGACTGACACTCTTGAATGCAGTGTGCTGAATGGGAAAAACCATCCCCAGCATGGAGTCACCATGGACATGCAGGTAGGAGTTGGCAGAGATTATTTGGTTTCACTTTCACCAGTTGAATGAATTCTTCAGGGAAGAAAGGGGGAAGGGTAAGAAAAGGAAGGAAAGGACAGGCCGAGACACAAAGTATGGCATATGTATTGCATAGTGGAACCACACAGAGGTCAGTAGGTTTTTCTGGCGCTTCATTCCATCCATCTGTCCACCCATCCATCCTTCCATCCATTTTGTTTTTTGAGAAAACGTCTCACAGAACATCTGCTGGCTCCTCACCTTGTCAGTATAGCTGACTTTGAACTCCTGATCTTCCTGACTTTCTGAGTGCTGGGATTACTGGCTTGGACCATCATGTTTCCTTCACATCTGGGAGTGTGTGTGTGTGTGTGTGTGTGTGTGTGTGTGTGTGTGTGTGTGTTAATTGCAAGTGATTGAACCTCAGGGCCTTGCTCATACTAGGCAAGGATTCTGTCATTAAGTTGTATCCCAGCTCCTTATATATATTCATTCAGGAGTAGGTAGGTTTGATGTGTTTCTGAGAAATGTCCTTTGCAGTTGGAAGATACAAAGCCGAAAAATAAGCGCTGTTAAACCATAGAAGCCTTAGCTGATGTGCCAGACTTGGGCTTAGACTTTACGTAATGAGGAGCTGCTGGAGGATTAAAACCAGCGTAGGATTTGTACTTGGGGAGGACCTTGTAGTGGCTGTGTGCAGGGTCGGTCAGGGCTCTCAGAGAATGGAGCCTGAGCCAGGGCTGGGTGGAGGCGGTGGGGCACCACTGGCATTTGGTGTCAGGCGGCTGGGGAGTGAGAATGGAGAGTGACTCTGGGCTTATTTCTAGGTGTATAGGTTTGGCACAGAGAAGTCAAGTGTCTCTGTGAGGCGCTGCTGGAAAGTGAAATGCAGTAGCAGTGAGCTTGGGGAGGAGGCCCAGTTAATCTAGTTACCGCTGTTGGGACTAGAGTCAGGATGGTGCTGTAGCTTGGGGGTTCTCAGCCTGTGTGTCGCGACCCCGTTGGAGATCAAATGACCCTTTAACAGGGATTGCAGATCAGATATCCTGTGTATCAGGTGTTCATATTATGATTCATAACAACATAGTTACGAAGTGGCAACGGAGATAATTTTATGAATGGGGGTCATCACAGCATGAGGAACTGTAATAAAGGATCACAACATTAGGACAGATGAAAACCACTGCTATAGATAGTCAGGACGGGAGCTGGGGAGTCGTTAAAACTTTCGTGGTTGGGAATTCTGGATGAGAGTCTGAAGACTAGACATTGAGGTTGACTGTTACACTCCATTTTAATGAGCAAAAGAGCCTCCAGAGAAGCTAAAAGAAGAGAAAAAGGAGGAAGACCAGAGGAGAAGACATTTCCGGAACCACGGGAGGGGAGTTTCTTCAATAAAGAACTGCTTTAAACCTCCAGAGATCAAATAAAATGAAGATGGAACATATCCATTAGATTGGACAGTTAGGGAGTTGTTGATGACTTTGGCAAGAATTCCAGGGGAAAGAGCAAATTTCAGTAGACAAAGAACAAATGTGAGCTGAAGTAGAGGCAAGGGCAGTCTACAGGAAGAAACAGAGCTGGAACTGGAGAGTTGGGAGCTGGTATATAGCAAGGATTAACTGGCTGAAAAGATGAGCTGAGCTTCCAGGGGCTGAGTACCTGTTCATGCTGCCCATAACCACCTGTGACTCCAGCTTAGGTGCATCCTGTGCCCTCTTTGAGCCTCCAAAGACACACACACACTTGCATGCACACACATGCACACACACACACACACACACACACACACAGATTATAAAAAGAGAGGACAAAATGACATATATCCCATGATGCATTCCGGACATTGGTTCCATGACTGGAGAGACCAAAAATCTCGAGTACTCATGTCTCTATGTCAGATGCGCTAGTTCATGGGTCATGACATATGAAAATGGCCTGCCTACTTTAAGTCATTTCTAGATATTATTTATAATACTAAATATACAACATAATGTATATACCGTATCAGTAGGTATTATGTCCTGTTTAGGAAATGACAAGGAAAAAAATCAGTATGAATTTAATACAGACATAATTTTTTTTCAAATACTTTTGAATTGGTTGAATTTAGAGATGTAGGACTGTATTTGATTTTTTTTTTTTTGGCTATGTAAAAACATGTTATTTTTCCTATTTTATAGAGACTAGTATGTGGCTCTTTGTGATGATTCTAAAAATTATTACATGTATATATTATAGGTGTCATTACCAGATAAAAATACTGGGTTTTTAGATGCTTTAAAAAGCAGTTGTTGAAATAGCTTTCTCCTTACATGGAGCTGACTGCCTTCTCCAAAGTTTGAAGGACACAGTGATGATTCCAACGAGAGTCCAAAGTAGAATCCTCCAAGATTTAATCCTTGAAGGCTTAATTGAGTATTTTCCAATTTGTACTTGATTTCTTCCCAAAGGAGTTAGTCAAGCCTTTCATTCTTCTCCGCTGTCTTTGAGAGTGTGGCAAATTTAATTCATGTGACACCGCATTTCACTACAGGCACGGATGACGTGGTGGGTCCTGAAGGCATGGAGAAATTCTGTGAAGATATTGGTGTTGAACCAGAAAATGTAAGTCTACCTTCTGGGGCAGCATGAAATTGGTCTTTCTTTCTTGCTTCTATTTGTTCTTTTTCCAAGCAAAGCAATAATAGAAGAAGTAATTGTGTGTTGGTTTGTGTGAGGCCAGCTAAGAAATATGTTCTAGTTCTAGTTTGATTTGTAAGTGGATTTTTTTTTTTTTTTACCTTCTTTCCCTCCTTCCTTTCTTTCCTTTTTTGAGACAGTTTCTCTATATAATCCTGGATGTCCTGGAACTCACTCTGTAGACCGGACTGGTCCCAAACTCAGAGATCCATCTGCCTCTGCCTCCTGAGTGCTGGGGTTGAAGGTGTGAGCCCTGACTGCTCGGCCCGATCATTCCCTTTTCAACTGTTGTGGTGTAACTGTGATGGCTCGATTTCTTGTATCTGAAAGGTGCATTAAGTGATTAATCTCAATGTATAAGAAGAGTACGGGCACAGGTACCCACAGTGCCAGATGAACAGTGGGGAGGAGTCACCGTGTGCTGTGTGCCTTTATCCCCCTCAGTAGCTATTCCAACTCAGTAGAGTTCCGGATTTTAAGTAATTATTCATAAAGGTTTGAGTAGGTGGTAATTACCATTAATTTTTTGCAGTCTTTTACTTCTATTTGAACTTAGCTCAGAAAGTGACTGATTTTTAGTGTGAAAGCATTAAATATTTCCCTTAGAATTTGGAGTTATTTTATGTATGCATAATTATTTTTGCCTAGTTCTCTGCATCATGTTTGTGTTAAATATTCTTTCTTGTTCTCACATAATATGTTACACTAAAGTGAAAACTTATGTTCACACATGTGCCCTGGTTCAAAGATGATGCAACTAAGTTGGACACCAGCTGCCAGTATAACAAACATGGCAGATCCTAACGGAGTTTATAGTCTGGAAGCGCTCTCCAGGGACCACACCCTTCCTTTAGACACACACCCTTCCTTTAGACACCTGGTGCCCCTGTAAATGCTGTGCTCTTAATGAAAACCAAGGATTGAAATTTTACACCTTTTGCTCTCCATTTCCCTTTCTTACCCTTGCCCTTTCTCTGCCTTGCTGGCTACTCCCTCCCCGCAGTCTCATCGGGAGAAGGGTTAAATTTTCTAAAGTACCTTTGCAATGTGTTTCATTATGTGGATTTGTTGTTTTGAAAATTTTAAAAATTTTCTTAAGTTGTTCTGATTCCAATATTTGATAACAGTTATTCACCTTGGTGTAAAGGTTTGGAGATGAGCAGGTCACCACCTGATGGTATCGGTGGGTACAGGGACAATGGTACTACTGGGTTTCAGGAGGCAGTGTTCTCTAGGTGTTAGCTGAAGGGTGGAAGGGAGTTGGGCCCAGCAGGGGATTAGAGAAATGGGCAATGAGGAGCGACGGAAGAGGGGCAGGCCACAGGTCAAATGAGAGCGGGGTTAGGCTACAGCAATTTGAGGCATGAGCTGATGTTGTGGTTAATTTAAAGGTATGGTCTAATATTGTTTATTATTAACCTATAATCATTATGGTGGTATTATCTTACTTGCTATCACACTCAATAATTTAAGACACAGACACATGATAGATTTTAGAATAGTCTTATTTCACGTGGGCCATGGCAGATATTACCTAAGATAGCTTTACCTGCCAGCCCCCATCCCACGCCATCTACTCTAATAATTTCTATTTGGGCTACCTCCCATCCATGAGCCTGCAAATACTTGCTTATTCTCCCATCTGGGCTGCATCAGTTTGACCATGTGCTCTTCCCCATGCTAATCCATCATAGCTACCTTTTCCTTCTTCCTCCAATACCAGTCCCCTTCTCCTTCCTGTGATCCTCCTCTCTTCAAAGCCTGAGAACCTTAGCCACGCCCACCATCCTTCCGCTTGCCCAGATGTGTCAGCGTTTTATTATTAGCCAATCGGGGATAATATCTTAGGATTTATATAACAAGGACAGGTATACTTGAGAACAGGCTCCTCTGAGCAGCAACCAGAGGGCTAGTAACCATTAGTAATCAGCAACTTGGGGGCTAGTAATCACCGTTAGGATAGGCAGCACCCGACTAACCCCCAACAAGCTGAACATTTAACCTGAGGCAGAAAGCCTGACTCCAAGTAGGATGCCTTGGAGTTGATTCTGCCTGGAAAAGAAAGTGCTTGAAGTTCCTCACCCATAACAGTTCTCGAGAAAAGGCAGCTATTCCTGGCATCCTTGTTGGCAGTTGGGAACCCTTTAGAACTCTGTTTCTGTAGGAATAGAGATAGTCTTGATATGTGAAATTATGTAGAGGACTAAAAGACTAAATTCAGAGTTGGATCGTTCCCAGGTCTGTACTACTGTGCTTCATTTCTGAGATGGCCTGGAAGTGATGGTGTTTTATCTCCTGAGGAAGGAGGTGCTGTTTAGTAAACCCTGCTGTCCGTCCACAGGCAGTGGCCCATAAAGCAGGCGTTGAAGTCCATGTTGGCAAAGCCTTTTCGTCTTCACTGGCAACCGCTTTAAAGGCGTTTTAATGCCCCACCTCCTGATAGCCATAGCGAGGAAATGTTACCAGGTCCATAAAAGTCAAGTCTTCATTTGCTAAGGGGTGGTGTATGGATGGGTTTGGAGGAAGAAAAGGGAAGGAGAAATTGAGGTAATAGTTTGTTTATAAAGTTCTGCATAAAACATGTTTAATAAAACAGGTTAGAGTGAAGAACATCCATGAACCCCTCTTTGACCTTTTTTCATTGATATGTGTTTGTGTGTGTGTGTGTATATATGTGTGTGTACGTACTCTCTTTCCCAGAGAAGACTGTTTCTCCCACTCTCGGCATTTCTTACTGGCATTTCTTAGTTGCCTATAGTTTCTTTGTGTAGGGTTCAGGCCTCCTATATCCCTGTCCATGTTAGCATGTCCATGGGGCCATCCACGTTCAGCTCTTGTTTTCTGCTAGTCTTTGCGGTGAGGACTAAGTAGAGACCTGACTTGATAATATACATAGTTTACTTCGGAATGTGGTTCACCGAGTAAATTGATGTTAACGTGTCAGTATCGCAGGACATCTCTGAGCCAAGGAGAGAGTCTACTGTAGGTAACTGAGGAACATACGGTGTCCTTAGAGGGGGGGTGGTTCTAGTGGTCCACTAATCTATAAATCACATTTCTTTTTACCCTCAGTCTAAAAACCCTACTGATTTTTTAATTAACTGTTTTATAATAAAAATAATTTCATCACTAGTTTTATCATATTATCTGACATTTTGTATGTGTTTGTCGAACCCAGACCAACTCGGTTTTGAAGCCACCCTTCAAACCTTGGTGACTGGGCCACTGTGGGCAGAAGCTCTTGCAGGGCCCTGGAGTAGGTGATTGCTGAGGTCTGATTTGTCACTGTATCTCTGTATTTTAACAGGTAGTTATGCTTGTCCTAGCTTGGAAATTGGATGCACAAAACATGGGCTATTTTACTCTACAGGAGTGGCTGAAAGGAATGACCTCTCTACAGTAAGTTCTGGGGCTGTGAGGGTCTCGGGTGGCTAGTAGAGGAGTTTAGAAGATGGTAGAGGGGCTGTTCTGATGGCCTCTAGTGGCCGCCCACCCCCGGGGACTCAGGACATGCTAGAGTGTAAGAGAAGAGAGGCCTGGTCATGTGGCAAGCCTCCCTCTGGCCAGAGATAGAGAGACCACACCCACTCTGAAGACAATAGTGGGTGTATTTTAGTAACTGAAGTGTGTATATTATTGTACGTGTGGTGAGGAGAGCATTGGTATTTCTCTGGAGTAGCTCTAGAAAGAAACAGCTCTCTTTTTTCTCATGCATCTGAGCCACATATGTAATGTAAAATTTTATAATAGCCATGTTAAAAAGATAAAGTTTCAGTACATTTTATTGAATACACAGATGCCCGAAACATGCTTTTAAAAAATTAAACTATTTTATATTTCTTTCTTTTTAAGATCTGGTCTCTTACAAATTTAGTGTCTATTTTACATTTTCAGTCCATACAGTGAGTTTTGTTAACTGTGTTGGACCCCTTTGTCCAGATTAAGAAAAAAAAAATTAACCAGTCCTGATGAGACCTGATAAGCTAGGGTCAGATGGAAGGGGAGGAGGATCTTACCTATCATTGGACTGGGGGAGGAGCATAGAAGAAGAAGAGGGAGGGAGGGTGGGATTGGGAGGAGAGGGGGGAGTGGGCTACAGCTGGGATACAAAGTGAATAAACTGTAATTAATAAAAATTAAATAAAAACTAAAAAAAAATTTAGTAACTTTATGTATTTAGTGTGTGTGTGTGCCCGTGTGCCCTTGTATGTGCCTGTGCATGTTCTTGCTTTGAGTTTCATTTAAAAAGACATTATTTTGCTATATAAGAAGGATAAATTTGGGAGAGGGGTACAGTTCAGATGGTGTCCAAGAGGAGCACTAGCTGGCTTTGGGCTGAAAACCAGGACTGTTCTCTTTCTTTTCCCCTTAACTAGGAATAACAGACTTCAATTTTATTGGATTAAAGTATCTGAAATGGTTTCATGATTTTGTTTAAGCCCTGATGGACTTGCTAGCTTCTGCTATCACTGCCCGTCTGGTGAAACAGCCCGCACCGTGCACACTGTGCCTTGATAACCTGTGCCCTCTCTTTGCCCTTCTCCCATTTCCCTCATGGTGTAAAAAAGACAGGTCAGGTTTGCTCTGAACATTGCCCAAAGGAGGAAACCGGGGACTTACAGAGAACTATATGGGGCTCGTGAAAGTAGAGCTGAGAAGAAAAACTAAGACTTCGGCTCTTAACTCAGGTTCTCCTGCTATAGCACTGTCGGTGGCAGAGGACTGTCAGGAGAAGGTCACCGTCCTTTTAGAAGCACACATTCCTTGTTGGTGCACACTTCAGTTTTGGGGTGGTGGCCTCTGAAATCCCTGTTTAATGATATCTATCATGTTAAGAGTTTCACCGAGGGATTTTGAAGGTTGCCGACTCATCATTTTTCTTGCTGCTTTTCTCTGTCGCTTTCTGAAAAGGGTGTTTCATAGCTGTTCTTTTCTAGTGTTCCATGGGGCTGAAGAGATGGCTCAGTGATTCATCCAGAGGTCCTGAGTTCAACTTCCAGCACCCACATGGTGGCTCAGAACCATCTATATACTGGGATCTGATGCCCTCTTCTGGCGAGCAGGTGTATATACAGATAGAGCACTCAAACTTTAAAAAAAAAAGTGTTCTTGTAATGACGAATGCCATGATCGTGTCAAGATTTGCCTTCAAGGTTTCGAGGCAGCACCACCATCTCTCAGGCCCATTTCATTTGTTCGTAGAAGGTAGGGTGCCCATTTTTATATAGTCTTAGCTTCTCACAGACATTTATCTTTACAAAATTTCTTATTCATGCCAGGCCTTGCCCATGTGTGCGAGTGCTACCCTTCCCAAAAAAGGCCCTTTTCTCCATTGTATGGGGACATTGATGCCATGAGCCTCTCAGTTGTGAGCTCTGTTCTATGATGTAGTGCAGTTAGTCTGTTCTGTGATGTAGTGCAGGTTGACTATGACCTAATTCTAGAAATTCAGGGTTCAGTAACATATACACACACACACACACACACACACATACACATGTATATATATATATGTTATAAATATATACACATATATTTACATACATATATACATATGACCCACTTTAAGGGCAGAGGAATCTATCTTTTGTGTGTGTGTGTGTGGCGTAAAATTTGGAGCCTGGTTTTCTTACCCAACTTGTAGATGATAGTTCAGGATAGAATTACTGTACTTTGTAGTTCAGAGGTGCAATCTCGAGTTTTTAAGAACCTTCCTGCAGCCTCCCTAGATTAGCCAACTGTTGGAGAAGTATTTGAATGGCACCGATACGCCAGGTGCCATATCCTGGGCAAAGAATATCCATGAACAAGATTCTCTCTCCGTGTTTCTCAGCCTGTGGGTTGCAACCCATAGGGGGTTTGAGTGACCCTTTCACAGGGGTCACCTAAGACCATCAGAAAACACGGTTATTTACAAACAACTCATAACAGAGGCAAAATTACAGTTATAAAGTAGCAATGAAATAATTTTTTGGTTGGGGGTCAGCACAGCACGAGGAACTGTATTAAGGAGCCACAGCATTAGGAAGGTTGGGAAACCACTGCCCTGTCTCATCACCACGACCTGAGAGTGAGTGTGGTGATTTAAGTGAGAATGTGCCCCACAGCCTGGGTATTTGAACACTTGCTCCCCAAGTTGGTGGCACTGTTTGTTGACATTTAGGAGGTATGGCATTGCTGGAGGAAATATGTTACTGGTTGTGGAGTTGGGAGATCAGACAGCCCCTGCCTTTCTTCTAGACCACGCTCTGTGCTTTTTGCCTTTGGTGGAGATGTGACCTCTTAGCTCCCTGCCCTGCTGCCATGTCTGCTACTCGCCACTGTGAATCCCTTGATGGACTCTTTGTCCATCTGGAATTGTAAGCCAAAAAAAACCCCCTAATCTTCCTCTAAGTTGCCTTGATTATAATGTTTTGTCAAAGTGATGGAAAAGTAACTAATGCAAGAAGCAGCCCAAGAGAGGAGAGGTTCACGTGGGCCCATGGTATGAATAGATGTCTGTCATGGGGAAGGTATGGCTCAGAGACAGGATCTGCCTCCTCCAGCAAGGCTTCACTTCCCATGCCTCCCACCTCTCAAAACCATGCCGCTACACAGAGACTTAAGTTTTCAAACACAAGCCTGCTGTGGACACTTTACAGTCAGACTATAGCATCCTTCCTCCGGCTTCTTCATGGATTCATAGCCCCCTCATAATGCCAAATGCACGTATACTAACTTAGAAGTCTTCAAGTCTCAGGGTAAAGGCAATCAATCATTTGTGGGCCCTGTAAAATTAAGGAAGTAAGAAATATACTTCCAGCATACTACGGCAGAAGAATAAACACTCCCATTCCAAAAGGGGAGAGTGGGAGGGTAGCCAGAAAGATGGGCCCAAGTAAGACAAGAAACGCTAAATGAACACAAAACCCTGAAGCTCCATGTCCAGAATCTGGAGGGCTCACGATGGCTTCGTCTGTGCTCCACTGGGCTGGAGGAGCCCTGCCACTCCAGCTGCTGCCTGTGGTTCTCGTGGCATCTCCCTTGGGCCAGCTCTCCTTGTACTTGCCAGTGTTCGTTCCTCAGGAAACATGCCCACGTTCCTGGCATCTGTGGTATTTTGGAATCTGCGTTGCAACCTGGGCTTCAGTTCCACTGCTTGATGCACAGCCCACTCGGAGCTCTGTGCAGAAACTCCTTCTCTGCTACACATTGCCTGGCCTCAGTGTCCTTAGGGGACCTTGGACCAACTCTCCATGACTCCATAGCTCTTGTGCTTTGCATGTCTGATAAAGTAGCACACGTGGACAGTGCCAAGTTATGTTACCAGCTCTAAAGACAACCTGGCCCCGGCTGCAACATCCCCTGTGTGCCTTCCGAGCTGATCCCAGGGAAAGACCTTCCCAAGTATTCTAGGTGGTCCTCTTCCAGGTGCCGTTTTAATCAGTCACTCTTCAAATGAAAGTTTTCAAATGAGTTTGCATTACTACATAGTGTGTGATCGATCAGTGAGGGACAAAGTTAGGCTCTTTTAACAATCACAGTTGCTCTGTACTTATTTTATTTGTCATCTTAATCTCAGTGTAACCACAGTTCAAGCCCCTTCCTTGCCAAACTGGCACTAGCCATGCTCACACTCCTTCCCTCCTCTCTTGACTGCAAATGTAGGTGAAGGTAGTGAATCATGCCGCAGCCTGAATATTACTCTGTCTCAAGTTTCCTCTCTTAGACAAAATAGACCATTATTTTGGGACTCAACCTCAATTTTAGGATATGAACAGACTGTTGCCAGTTCCTTGGCAAATATGATTGGTCTCCAGTCTGGTTCCCAAAGCTCTCTGTGCACCACCCCACCCTCCCCAGAGCGGGTGGGTAGTCTCCTGTGTGCCTCTCTGTTGGCATTCTAGCTAGTCTTCTACACTTTGACCAGGCTTGCCCTGTAAGCTCTGCCTATGATGTTCTAGGAGCTCGCCGGTCTGTGGCTTTAAGCTAGTCCTCGTTTCTCTGCTAAGTCCGTTCCAGAGGCTTATGAACCACCAGCACATGCTTAGCTTTGTCTTTCCTTCTGGCTCAGTTCAGGACCCCAGGCAGTGGGGTGCTGCTTCCCACACTCGCCCCTGACTCATCTCTGGAAACGCCTCCACACGCACTGACAGTCAGGCTTCCCCGTGCAGCCAGGTTGACAGCGAAGGTAACTGTCACCAAGACAAAGTCCACTCGGGGCAGGACTTAGAAATAATACTTAGAGGGCTCACTAGTATAGCAACCACGCTGCTGGCCGACCCGACCGAAGCCTGTGTTTGTAAGCCGCGTTTACCTAGTCCGTAGGAAAGCTCAAAGTTGTTTATACGCGCTGAAGTGGAAAGCGGTCTGTCTTTCTGGCTGTTTTGTCTTCTGTTTTAGATTTCTCCCCCCTGGTTTTGGTCATCTCCAGTTTATTAAATCTGTCCCAGGTAATGGCTTTAGCTTCAAGTCGGAACTCGTGTGTGTGATAAAAACCTGTATTTTTATGCAGTGATAAACATTTTACTTCATCTTAATTTCTATAGCAAAGGAAAAACCATAGACAGAGTTGCTTATAAATAGCAGAAGCTCGTGTCTTACAGTTCTGGGGGCAAGACTTAGGCCGAGGCTCCAGCAGCATTGGTCTCTAGCGACAGCTTGGATTTGGATTGTCAAGGGATGCCTTATGGTTCTGTGCTGACATGCTGATTGGGACAAACAGGCTTCTTTAGGCTGCTCTTTTAAGGATATTAATCCCATTTATAAAAGTTTTGCCTTCATGACTCAGTCCAAAATTGACCTTCAAAAATTTAGAAATAATATTTTTATTTACTTAAAATCTTATGAAACATTTATACAGTGTGTTTTGATCACGGCCATTCACTGCTCTTTCCACCTTCCCTTAGTGACCCTCACCCCATCCCCCTCCTGCCTTCACAGCCTCCCTTTCTTACTGTTATTTTGTTGTTGTTATTATTAATAGCTCCTGAATCTAATTCTTCCCTTTGAGCCTGGGTGTGATGCCTCATATTTTACTGCTTTGCCTTTGAGGTTAAGATTTCAGCATACAAATCGGTGGCATGTATGGGGTGGGGGGAGGGGCAGACTCAGGTTTAGACTGTAGCAGTCTGACCTTTGGTAAAAAACAGCAGGCCCCCTCGGAGATTAGCATCCCCCAGTGGGATCGTGCTCAACCTAGAAGCACCTTGAGTTTGGGGAGGGCTAGAAGGTAGCCAGTTTTTTGTGTAAAACTCTGATAGGCTAGAAAAAAAGTAGCTTTGGACTAAGTGAAGGGCTGCAGGTTTCGAGGCGCTGTGGGGAAAGCAAATCTACTGAGAAGTGTGTTTCACTCACCGAGTTTTGTGACTGATCCTTTGTAACACACTTGATGGGGAAATATGGCCATTTTGCAGAAAGGCCTCTGGGTTGAACATCACAAACCCATTTCTCCACTGGCCCTTGTCCTTTAGCGGCCACTAGATGGCAACCTGTTGATCCAGAGCTCAACCTGTTGAGCTGTGAGTTTGTAGGGAAGAGTGAGTGCGTGTGACAGCACACACCTCATTGGATACACGAGGTGGAATTTTGTATGCACATTTGATATCTGATCTCCTTTAAAATACGAGATGTATTCATTTCTCACAATTGGATGTAAGTTCTAGTTGTCTTTCAAACAGGAGCATCTTTCCTTAGGGTTGGGAAGGTCACTGCAGGCCTGGCATAGATCTTGTTTTGGTTTCAAGGGCTGCTCTGCCCCAGCACCCAGGGATTCATTGTTCTCTCTCAGCAGCTCTCACTGTTCTGGCTCCTGCACCTGAATCTGAAAACAGTCACTCGGGACTAAACTAACAGCCGTCTAAATCTGTCCCTTGGGTTTCCTTTCCAGTGAAGGGGAGGAGCCCGGCCTTGCACGTTTTTGGATGGACTGTCTTCCTCCTCTCCAAGACTCCCCTATAATTGTTCATGTTTTTAAGTTCTTCTTTAATTAATAGTATCTTGGTTCTGTAGTAGTACACCCGGTGCCAACTAAGATAGCTGCCGCTCCTGAGTCCCAGCCATACCTACCCCCACGCTACCGTGGGTGTTTTTCTAATCCTTGCCATCCTTATTTGGGTTCTGACACCAGGTCTATAGGTGGACTGTCAGCAGCTCAACTCTTTTCCTTCCCCATCCCCTTTTCAGAGATCTGAAGAGTTGTTGAGGGTGCAAGCCTGGTCTCTCCCATGGTGGGAGGTTGCCTCTGTTGTTTGTAGGATTCAGTATAGAAGCCTTTCACAGTGGACCATGGGAGGCTTGTATAGCCCTTCTTTGGGTTTTGAATGAGTGAGTTTATTAAGTATATCATAGCAAGTAAAAGTGAATATAGTTAGTAATAAATATCATCGAATTGGGGCCCAAACTGTCCAGCAGAATTGATCGTAAAAGCCCTGTTAAAGCAGCCAGCCAGAATTCCTGATAGTCCCAGGCAGAGCCGAGTCCCCTTGGGTGACACTTAAAAGAACAAAAACAGCAGGAAAGTGATGTCATTAAGTCAGGGTACCCCCCCCAACCCCACTGACTGAGAAGCTCCACTCAGGCATCGGCCACAGTTCTGGATTGGGTGGTCCAGGCAGAGCAGTGGGTCCTCTGGTGAGCTTCCAAGTAAAAGAACATCGTCCAAGCAAATAGGCCTCACAGGCCTGTTGCTCATGGTACCTGCTGGAAATGAAGTTGAGGCAGTCTGGTGGAGTCTCCCCTCCCCCTTGAGTGTCCCATGGCTGGACTTCCAGCCTCTCTCTCTCCCTCTTCTCTCCCCCCCTCCTTTCCCTCACTTAGGCACTTTTATATTACGGGGTAAAGGAACAGTGGTGAACTCCTTGGAAACGCTTTGCCTTCGGGCAGTTTTTAAGGGCACTGTGTCTTTATACTTGAACTGTTCGTTGTTCTCCTTAATCCCGTCACAGTTGGAGGCAGGTAAGCCATCCCCTGACAGGGAGTGTAGGATGACATTGACATCACTGTATTTGTGGGGTGGTGCCCACAACAGGACTGGGACCGGAGGATCAGCAAGCCCCCTGTCAGAGCCAGCCTCTCAAGGAGTTCAAATAGTACACAAGTCACCAATACGCCATTTGCTGCAAGGTCAGAGGAGGACATTGTGGAGTCCTCCTCAATGTCCACCAGATTTGTGCAATGAGTACTTTTACACCCTCACCCCATCCCCGCCACATACACTGAGCCATCTTGCTGACTTGCTTCTCATTTTTAAGGCTTAGACATTGCAAACAAAGTTAATTTGTAAAAATAAGTAATTAGTGTGCTTCCTTATCGAAAGTAAACACTGTCACTCACCGGTAAAAACAGGTTGTCATCGTCAGGGCTCCCTGGAGAAACAGCCGGTCTCAAATCAGAGCAGAACAAAATGGGGGCTGGCACATTCTGTGCCAGAGAGCAAGGGACTGCGTAGAGATTGGTGGGAACATGTCAGAAGGGCAGGTTCAGGGGCCCCCTGCCCAAGCTGGGACAGTCTGCATTGCAGAGAATAAAGACGGCAGCGGGTGGAACACACTGACTTAAAAGTAACATCACCCTAAGCCCACAGAGTGACAGCAGTGGGGTCCAGAGCTCCTCACGGGAGTATGCCAGGTCGGAGACCGGTGTGCCGCACTTCAGGTGTGCGCCCAGCGGGGGCGGAAAACTGCTTGTGTGGATGCGGTGTTCAGCGGTCGTCCAGCTCTGCTGCCCGGGGCTGCCGGGAGAGGCGTGTGAAAGGACGGAGGCTGGGGTGGCTGTCGGAGAGCACTAGCAGAAGGCACGAAGGACTCTCACTGATGTACCTGTCACTGTGTCACTGTCAGGCCAGTGTCACCACACCAGGACCCCTGGTCTGTAAGTTTATTTACAGACTACTTCAGGGGGAGTTGAGGCATCAGGGAAAGAGCAAGCTGAAGAACAGTATCGATGAACTGGGTGGTCGGTTCTGTGTCCTCCCACAGGCCACTCAGTGTCTCAGGGCTGGGAAAGTACTTTAGACGGAGGCTCTGGGGCTGGGGAGAAGGATCAGCCAATAAAATATTTGCTGCACAGCGTTTAGGGTCTGAGTCCCATCCCCAGGCCCCAGAGTAGCACACACTTGCAAACCTCAGCATAAGGGAGGTGGAGACAGCGGGTCCTTGGGGCTCCCTGGCCAGCCATTCTAGTTCACTCGGTAGATTTCTGGCCAAAGAGAGACCCTGTCTCAAAAAAAAAAAAAAAAAAAAAAAACCAAGGTGGGCGCTAAAGCGGTGGGAGGTGTGGGCCCAAGCTGCAGCTTGTAATGATTTACAATAAAAAGAACCTCATGTAAAAAAAATAAAAATAAAAATAAAAAAATAAAAACAAGGTGGACAGCATCTGAGAAATGACACCTGAAACTGGCCTTTGCCCTGTCACGTGCACACACACACACACACACACACACACACACGTTTTTGAACACAAATAAATAGTAAATTGAGAGTCTGGTGCATACCCCCCCCCCCCAGCCACACAGTTTAGTTTCAGCAATAGGGAGCTTCATGGTGTGCCCTGGAAGGACATGAGGACACATGCCGTGTCCCCCTCAGTACCATGGGTAATCATGGGCACTTACCTCACAAGAGTGCCATGCTGCAGAGACAGCCGGAAGGCCTCAACAAAGCAACCACGGAGGCGCTTGGCAGAGCAGCTGGAGACAGCACAGGTGTGTGCTCGCTGAGAAAGTAAGAGCAGGACACTAAGGTGGTGTGAGGGTTGATGGGAAATGTCACCAAGGCTTTCAGGTGGCACAGCACATGGTGCGCACGCGCGCGCGTACACACTCAAGAGCGTAAGTGTGAGGGCGTGTGTGTAAATGTGGGCCTGGTTGCCGTGTATCCACTCTCCTGTGCCTTTAACGGTTGTTAAAAAGTACGGAAAGCAGCTGGTCATTACAGACCCCGTCCCGCTTCCGGCTTTTTATTCTTTTGGTGTTTGTATTACTCCAGTTAAGAAAAAAAAAAAAAAAAGCACCCAGGTTGTAATTTACCTTTATTCTGTTTCCTAGATGTGATACAACAGAAAAACTCAGAACTACTTTGGATTACTTAAGATCATTATTAAACGATACAGCAAACTTTAAGCTCATTTACAGATACGCGTTTGACTTCGCACGGGTGAGTTCTCTGGAACCTCTCCAGACGTCCCCTCCCCCCCTCCCCTCTTTTATTGCTCTGGAGATTTGTGTCTTACACCACAGGAAGGACCTTGAAAAGTTACTCCCAGGGCATGAGCCGGTTTCTAATGCTTTGAGAAACTGACTCAGGGAAAATGTGTGTGTTAGCCAAAATCTTCGTTGGTTGCCATTAACCAGCCCCTGTGACCAGCTAGCTTAGGACTCAGTTGTCCGCGAGAACATGATACTTAAAACCGTCAGGTAAACTTGGAAAGGCTCTCCACTCTCACACGACTGACCTTTGCCCCTCGAGGGACTAGAATATTGATCTTACCTAATCCAGTTTCACTTGGAAGGCTGTTAATCTATTTGGAAAGAATACGAATTCAAACCAAGGCTAATTTCTCATTTGTTGCTTTAGCGATTCAAATCTTAAGTTTGTGACAGTGTTCCTGGGGAGGAATAAAAGCCTGGTCACCTCAGGTAGAGAATTTCAAAGGTCTCGGTGGTATGTTCATGGAGACCCGGCCTCAGCCCTTGTACTCATACTTTATTCCAGAATAGTGTCTTCTCTGCGTCTGTGTATTTGCTGGGCTCAGATGACGAGACTTTAGTCAGCAAACTTAGTCAGCTTTTTAAATATATCTTTTTTTTTTTTTTTTTTTTTTTTACTTTTTTAGTAGAGTCCTCACTCTGACCTTCTCTGTGCTGATGTTTTTCTGCTTACTCTTTGAGTATTCCACGGTGAATTATAGCGTGTCTACAGTGGTACATTAGTGATGCTGTGTGGAGCCCTAATTCGTGTCGTTCTGATATAGCAATCTCAAGGAGTCACAGTGTGCATGGAATTAACTGATGTTAGAAGTGAAGGGATGAGAGTCACACGTAACGGTTGATGAAATGACATTTATGTAGTTGCATGTAGAAGGTAGAGGCTAGATATTAGTTTCTAGGTTAAATGGTTCAGTGCACAATTCTCCCCACCCCATTTTTACAGTACAGGTAGAGGTCTCTTTTGTAATATCCTAACTTTCTGTGCCCAAATGAGCTCTGTCTGGCTTCTTCCTTGGGTGTGAGATTCTCTTAGCTAGCCCCTGTGCTTAGATCCGGCTCTCATTTGCTCCTTCCTGGTTTCGTCCATTCTGCGTCAGTCACTGTGGCCCTCCTTGCGGGAGCTCCTCGAGTTTCTTTCTCAATGCCTCTACTCCACCGCAGGCTTGTCAGCCGGGGCCCTTGTTACCCTAACCTGCCTCTTTGGCCAGCCTTATTTCCACACTCAGCTGGCATCCACATCACCAGAGACTCTGCGCCTTCCTTCAGCCCTCCCTGGCCTCTTGAAGCCTTCAGTACCTCTCACCACACTAACGTTAGCGTGCACGTCCTGGCGTGGATGTGGCAGTTGCCCCCACGGCAGCCAGAAGGTCGCAGTCCGCTTCATACAGGAGCAGAGTGGGCCAGAGGGAAGTGGAGAAACTGGTCTTGGTCACGTTGTCTGTTAATAGACAGTAGGTCTTACACTGTAATGAGCCTGGTGCCTGACCTCTCTGCCTTTGTTTTCTGCTCCTGGGCATGCTGAGCCGTTTTTTGTAGCCCTGTGTGCACTCCCACACTCCCGTCCATCTCTGGCATGGGGGCCCAGCCACTTGCAGCCTCCTGGGTCAGTCTGTCCTGGAGAGTTAATGCCACAGTCACTTACACAGCCTCAGAAACGGCTTGATGTGACCTTGGAGTTTGAGTACAGGCTGTTCATACTCCTGGTAGATTGAGGACTGTGAGTTTTCTGTGTGTTCAGCAGAGGTCTTTGCTTTTAAGGGGTGTTTCAACAGAGACTGGTGAATTATCTCTTTTTATAGAATAATGAATAACAGGTACTTATATTTTATTATTTAATTGCCAAAGCCATTCAGTTCTGCCTGGGTATATATTAAGGTGAATTTGTTAATAAACCTTTATTTTGCTTAGCTATATCCTACAAGTTTTGGAAAGTTACATTCTCACTTGCATTCAGTTAGACTGTAGGTCCTGTTTTGATAGGCTCATGCTACATAGCCCAGCAACCCACAGTCCTGCCATGTCAGCCTCACTCTCTTGGGGCTTCTTTTTGACACATTATTTGGAAATAATGTTGATTATTTTGTAGGTACTTAAGATTTCCCAGGTAATTTTTGTGGATACCTAGTTTAAGTCTGTTGGTCAGAGGAAGTACAACTTCAGTCTGTTTAGTGTATGGGCCTGAACATGTCCTGCTCTGATAACGTTTGTCACATGTGTCACTGTTGTCTGCTGACTCTTAGTTGGGTCAGTTTGGTTGATGGTGTTCAGTTCCTCACCCACTGCTGTCTGTTGGTTCTGTCAGGTGAGGACTATTGGATTCCTCAGTTGTAACTTACTCCGTCGCCCCGTCTTTCTCCTTCCACCTATTTCGAAGCTCTGATGTTAGGTGTAGACATACTGTTATGTCCTGGATGAACGGACTGCTTTGCGTTATGAAGTACCTGTTCCTTATTCTGATATGACTTTATGAGAAAAGCAGCCCACCCAGCATGTCGGTCCCTTCCCCTTCCTTTAACTGTGGGTGTTGTTTCGGAGTGGATTTCTGGAAGATAGCCTGCATAGAGATGGCATGTGAGGGGTCTTAAAGATGCTGGCTCTGTGTCAGGTGTGACTGGTACTAACATTAGCCTCCTGTCTTGCTACTTCTCTCGGTGTGTCAAGGGAAATGAACATTGCCTGTTTTTCTTTTTTTTTAAAAAAATGATTTATTCATTTTTATTATGCCTTTCCCTTTTTTCTTTTTTTTTAATGATTTATTTGTTTTTATTTTATGTGCACTGGTGTTTTGCCTGCATGTATGTCTGGTACTGGAATTACAGACAGTTGTGAGCTGCTTTGTGGGTCCTAGGAATTGAACCCAGGTCCTCTGGAAGAGCAGCCAGTGCTCTTAACCACTGAGCCATCTCTCCAACCCCGGCTTGCCCTCTTTTCACTGCCTTCTTTGGGACTGAGGTAGGGTTTTCTGTTTCTTGTGAGTCTCAGTTCTGCCATGCTTTATTGCCCATATCTCTATTATATTATTTCTGCTGCTCACCCCAGGCCTTCCTTGCCTTGGTGTTTCAAAGGTTTATGGTTTTCAGTGTTGTACTTGTGTTAATGTGTGAGACTTTGACAACAATGCGCTCTCGTTTCGCCTGCCGTACTTTGTGGATTTTATTCTGTGAGTCTTAAACTATCATTTTGTTTTAAACAGGCAAATATGTCTGTTGCAGGTACCCGAGTTTATACCACTTCTGAGTCCTTTTGTCCTATGCAGACCAATCTCTGATACCATTTTCCTTTTGCCGAACAAAGCTTCCTTAACAGTCCTTGTGGGACAGACCTCCTCCTCCTCCTCCTGCTGCTGCTGCTCCCTAGGATTTTGGCCTTGCCTTCAATTTTGCGAGATGCTTTTCTGGGTAAAGACTTGGAGGATGGCACTTTAACCCCGGCCCCCACCACCAGTGATGTCTTTCTGTCATCTCCAGCCCTGTAGCGTCTGATGGCATTCCCGTCTTTATTCTCTGATCATAATGTCTGTTTACTGAGATAGCTTTTCTCTTTTAACTGTTGTCCAGCAAGTAAACTATGATGCTCCCAGTTTTTCTGGTTATTATTCTGATTGGGATTTGCTGAGCTTTTCGAATCTGTGGGTTCATAGTTTATATTAAACTGGGAAATCTTTTAGGCGGTACTCTTTAAATGTTTTTTTGTGTTCTGTCTCTTCAACTACAAAATGTTTGTTATACTTCTTGATACTGTCCCACAGGCCACTGATAGCTCATTCTGCTCATTTTAAAGTTATATCACTGTGTCCTCCATTTTCAATCTTTTCATTCACATTTTCTAATCTCCTGTCAACATCTTTCTTTGCAGAGACTATTTTTCATCTCAGAAGTTCCTTTTTTTTTTTTTTTTAATGCCTTCTATTTTCCTCGTCAGGACAGTGTGCTTGTACTTCCTCAAACATCTAGAGTATTCGTATTAGATAGAAAAGCTTGCCAACCTTACCTGGGTCTCCAAGCGTCCTCATTTCTGCATGTTCTGCTGGGCAGGTGCCTCATGATTGTGATCCTTGCTGTGGGATTTATCATTGCTCTAGTCCTGCCCTTGCAGCATGGTGTGAGTTCTGTATTACTGGCTTTGCCTCTCCTACTTGGAATCAGTTGTGTGCTTTGAAAGGGTGATCCCGAGAGCAGCTGTTGGCCCAGCAGAACGGCTGGCATGTCAGGGCAGAGCCTTCTCTGTGCCCAGCGTGAGTTCTTCATATGCTGGCCATAGAAATGCATGCCCTCTTCAGTGCTCCGTCAACTCTGCTTAGCAGCTGCAGTACATCCCTCTGGAGACGCGTGCGCACACCAAGAAGTACATGGCCGAAGACTAAAAGGAGACAGCGTGCAACTTCCAGGCCTTTGTTTTGTAGCCGATAGCCTGTTTTCTCTAACTCAGAAAAACCCTTGGGCTGTGTGCTTGACTTTCCCCTTTCCTTTGCTGGGGCCTGGAAACCACCTCAGCGCTGAAGGTATCCTGTAGGGCTTCCCATGTTTCCTTTCCAGAGATTACAGTCTGTGGTCAGGGTGGAAGAGCAAGCACTTCCAGTCTGCTTCCAGTTTCAGAAAACAACCAAAGTTGTTGCCAAGTGAAAGGAGACTTTGGTTTTGGTTGAAAGTAGAACCCAAACCTCTCCCCACCCTCTCTCTCTCTCTCTCTCTCTCTCTCTTTTCTGCTATAAAAATGGCTCCTAGAAATTAAAAGTTATAATTAGCATAGCAGATCAGTTTTAATGAAAATTCAACCACTTGATAGTGTTAATAATATCTTAAATATTGTAAATCAAGAATGTTTATATTCATTAAATATTCTGAGTGATATTTTAATATACCAAAAAGAGACTATGACATAGTCGTTCTCAATCTGAAGGAACGAACAGCTCTTTAATAGGGATCACCTGAGACCATTGGAAAACACAGATACTACATTACAGTTCATAACAGTAACAAAACTGCAGATACGAGATAGTAATGAAATAATGTCATGGTTGGGTTCACCACGAGAACTGCATTAAAGGGTCGCAGCATTAGGAAGGCTGAGAACCACTGCTACAATACAGTATTAGACACTGATAAAATGGCCCTTCTGACACCTCTCTACCAAAATCGTAGTCCTGGGAGAGTCATCCTTTCTCTCACCGTTAGCACTGGCAGCTGATGGTGCCGAGGGGGTGACTCAGTGGTTAAGAGCACGTGCTCTTCCTCAGGACCTGGGTTTGGGTCCCAGCACCCACACGGTGGCTCACAATGCCTGTGCCTCCAGTCCTCCAGGTTCTGATGCCAACAGAGGCGCTCACACACGGGAGGCGCATATTAGTTTGTTTTAGTATGTGGTGCGTGTACACGTAGGCAAACTCTGATCGACATAACACGCTTAAGAATAAAAGTAAGGACGTGCCGCCCTCAGAAGTGAATTCCGCTGTAAGCTTTGGCATTGCTTCCCTCTGATTCTCCTTCTCTGTAGCTTTGTAGATGTCATACAATCGTGACACTTCAGGGGTCATCTGGTCTCGCCTTGTCAGCAACTAGGTGATGCAATAGGGCCAGCCAGGCAGGGCACCGAGAGCCTCTGCTCTGCCAGCCCTTCCCACAGAGCCATGCTGCCTTCCCTGTCTTGATTTTGTCGCTGTCCTCTGGGGTCTTACCAGGAGAAAATCGGGGAGTAAAAACCACCAAGTCTGCAACAGCTCTCTTACGTAACTGAAATTTTCTTAGTGTTTTCTGCATACGCGTTTCCCCCTTGATGTAAGTTCCTTATGTACCGTGTAGCGTCCTCCCAGTTGACACCATTTTCCCTCCGTTCGTTCCCTTGAGCTTTCTGAGATGGCATCTGGCTGCACTTGAGCTTCCATTCCGACCTGCTTGTTTCTCTGTGCTTCTCCAAGTCCCGGGAGCAGTAGCCCTCGTACCAGGAGTTACTGTACGCTGTAATTTCTTACAAAGAGCTCTTTGGTTGTCTCTGCTGTGCTCCTTGAATTTGGAAGGTGGCACCCGGAAGAAGCCCTCCGCTTGAAGCAGGAGCCCTGTCACAGAGCACGGCTGCGGGAACCCCTGCGGTCAGGGGACCCTGGAGCGTCTCTGTTCCAGCGCATGAGAAGGCACTTGCTGTGGGCCCTCTCCGCCATCGCATTCCCAGGGCTTTCGGATGTCTGCCGCTTTGGTCATTGCATGTGGCCACAAGGCCACAGTTTGCACTGCCGGTTGTCGGTGCGATGCCCCTGTTCAGGCGGCATGTGCGTCCGTAAATGCCTGTCTTGTCCACCGGGCAGAAGGAGGTGTTAGTGGTTGGCCACTGCACAGCAGGAGGGGACGGGCGCTGTTGAACATTCCTCTGTGAGTCCCACGCCTCGTCCCCTCCGTGTTCCAGCACGGACCATCAGTTTGGCAGACGATTGCCATGCTGCACACTCTGTGCAGGTCTCTTGTTCCTTTTTTTATTTCTGTCACTGTTGTACATGTCCAAAATGACGAGGCTACGGATGACAAGAGCTGTGGGGACCGACGACCGGTTATAAACTCAGTGAAAGGAAAGTCTTTAGGGTGCAGAACACACTCTTGTTAAATGGACTTTGGCCAGATCTTGGGGTCCCATATGTGTTTCTCATATTTTTCCGTATTTTTCTTGTGGCTTGCTTCATGGTGTGACGCACTGTTGCTGTCTGTCACACCCGCTCTTCAGGTTAAGTGCTGTTTTACATTCGCCTTCCCAGGCCATCACAAAAGCAGAGAGACAATACAGCATGCAGGGCTGTCAAAAGACTGTCAGTCTTTAGATCACATCTCTTCTGTCCTCCTGCCTGGCAGAGTTAACGCTGCCAAGACAGGATGGGATCATTTGCTGGCCAAAGGAGAGCCAGAGAACACTGTAGAAAGGACCTGTTTGCACCTCCCTCCCCAGGTGCAAAGAAATGTGCATCTCCAGGCTTCCCGTGGAGGATGCAGCCTTTAATGGGAGCCGTGGTGCCGTGCCCTTTGACCTGGCCTATTTATAAACAGCTGTCATCCTCAACAAGGATGACCGGAAGCCATCTTGTATGTTTTTCTTCAGTGGCAACTTGCTGTGCTGCCTTTACCCCTGTTAACTTGCTAAGTGAGCCTCATTGCTGTATCGATTTACGATTTACATCAGCTGAAGATCAGTGCTCGGGTAAAAAACCCACTGTGTGCTCAACAGCGCCTTGCTGCTCAAGGCAGAAGGTGTGTGTGGCCGAGAGTGGTTGCAGCGTTCCACTGCAGTGTGGGGAACACTGGTGTGTTGCTCCAGCCGAGAGCCAAGCACCTCGCCCCTTTTGTAGAAAAGTCCTGTTGTGGATTTCCACTCTAGTTGGTGATCCACATGAAGGAGAGCTTTAGATGTGTTCAAGAACGCATTTTTTTCCCCTGCCAGAACTGCCTGCTTAAGGTTTGGAATGGAAATGAGTAAGAAAAGTTGAGTGAATGGTAAATAAAATCCCTAACTACAAATAAAAGTGGATTAAGCCTACTCCGAGTACATACGTTCTGTTTTCTAGTTTCCCATGGTCACGAGGTACTGTCTAGGAGTCAGATCTAAAACAGGCCAGGTGAGGAGACATAAGGAGACAGAGACCCTGCTTCCCCAGAGCAGGGGGATGAGCATGTCTCCTGACAGGAAGAGACGCTCCAGGGCCCCAACCCATCCGGGGAGCTGAGTTTAGTCCAGTATATTTAGGTAGGAGAAAAATATTTGCCACATGAAGTAAAGCTTTTGGAAAAAGGAGTCTCTGAGGAAACCTAATTCTAAGTACTCGAAAGCAAAACGCTTGTACTCCACTGAGTTCCGCTGGGGGCTTTCCGGTCAGCAGTTATAACTCTGGTAATTATCATAATGTAAAGCAAGCAGGCTGTGGTTTTTTTCCCCCCGGGAAATGAATGTGGATACTACTTCATGATAGATAGATTTGGCATTCGGGTAAAGTTAGTCACATGGATAAGTTTATATGTGACACTCAGATGTCAGGCTTTCCCTTGTATTTGGCTACCATTTCCTTAGTCCCTTTCAGGGTCTTATGGTGTGTAATAAATGAGCTGTTTGTTTACTGATTTCTTGCTGAAGTGAAGTACATGTTTGGATTATTAGAGTTTGTGATTTAGAAGCATCTGGCTTACCCTTGTTTTTATTTGTTAAACAGGAAAAGGACCAGCGCAGCCTAGACATAAACACTGCCAAGTGCATGTTGGGACTGTTACTAGGAAAAATCTGGCCCCTTTTTCCAGTTTTTCACCAATTCTTAGAGGTACCAAATTACTTTATGAAATGTTACGTTTGCTTGCTTAGAACTACCTCATACTTCATCTAACCGTTTCGTGTGATTTTTTTTTTTATTCGCTGTAGCCTTTGCTAATAGGAATTATGGTTCCCTGGTTGAGTGCATCCGTGTATTCATGTCAAGTTGTGTGCGTCTGAAAGGTCGCACTTCCTCTCTCCTCTCGGCCCCATATAGACTCCGCTGGTGTTAGAGTCCCAGCTCTTTCTAACGATAGGTCAGGGTTCCTCCAGATGAATTTCCAGTTTTAAGCCGACATTAAACAGTGACCTCTCACTAAAGCTAGTTTGTAATCTACTCTTTCCTTTGGTCTCCAAGTGCTTGTTGGAGCAGTTGGACAGCCATGAGCCCTGGATTAGGTACAGCAGCAGTCAGTATCTTCTTTAGTTTAAATGTGCTCAGCCTAAAGTCAGAAACAACATTTAGTGGCATCATTGCTGTTTGCTCTCTCGGTGAGGAGAAATTTTGAGCCCCGGTGGGTTTTGTTGAGATGTCCTTTTGAAGAACCCGAAGCAAGCAGAGGCGTGTGCTGCGTGGGCTCTCACAGGTGCCGTGTGCATTACCCGCCTCCTACTCACGCCCTTTGAAACATGGCCTTTGCTTTCAAGGGTGAGTGTGGGACCTTGGAGAAAATCCTGTGCCTTGCCCAATTCCAACTCCCCCTTAAAATATTTTTTCTTACTCGCTTTATGTAGTGGTCCAGAAAAATTACTTTTTTTTTTTTTTTTTTTTTTTTACAATTACAATATAATTCTCTGAGCACTGTTACTAGAATCCACTTGTAACAATACAAGTGTTCTGCTCCACATATGGTCCATTCTAGCTTCCGGCAGTCCCATGAGATAAGCCCTCCGAAGGAAAAGGAGAAGTGAGTTCTTGTGCCCAGTGGGCTTAGTAGGATTTGGACCTCTAGGTGAGGCGTCCTTTGGCTAAAAGATGGAGCTGTGAGTAAATCTGACCTTACTCAGTCCCAGATACTTAAGCTCTTCTGAGACTGGTTTTTGCTTTCATGCTTCAGGAGTGCAAGTCTGTGCTTTGCCCTTACGTAAGTTTTTATTTTTCCTTTTAGAAGGAGGTGGCCACCCTTCCTTCCATCCCAGCCCCTCCTTTGCCCGCATCCTCAAAACCAAGGGCTTGACTCTTTACTTTAAAAAACTCACATGATTTTACTGGTTGTAGTTTTTCCTTATTTACTTATTTATATTGCCGTAAGGATCTCTGAAATGTTAGCTCTGGGTTTTGCTTTTAAATCTCTAGGGTATCACATTAATCTCCCTACAGCAGATTTCTTTTTTGAGACCAATAGAGCAACCACTTCATGGTTATTCCAGTTTCCTCTCTGAGGGGGTCATGGCGAGAGCTCCCAGCTCTGGCCACTGGCAGCATTTACATAGTTCCTAGCAAGTGCTCCAAGCCAGCAGCGTGGCAGTGAGCAGGCAGTGAACTGGACCCACTCCTCATTTAGCTTGCTTTGTGCCAAGTTCTGGGTGAAGGGCTTTGTGTACACTCTCTCACTTAATCTCTGCGGCATTGGTGTGAAGAGGGCACTACCACTGGTTTTAGGTGTGTCCACAAAATGATACTGTTATGAAAAGTGTCATTCTAAATTCTGCTCTTACTCTCTCCTACCATCTTCCTAGACTGGTGCTTCAGTTGTGTTAACCCTACGTGAACTTTCTTAAGTTGGTTCGTACATTAACGGAAACTATCCCACTTGTTCGTTTTGTGTCACTAACCGTATTACTTTCCCCCCCCCCCATCAGCAATCAAAATATAAAGTGATAAACAAAGACCAGTGGTGCAATGTGCTAGAGTTCAGCAGAACAATTAGCCTCGACCTCAGTAACTATGACGAAGACGGAGCATGTGAGTACCGGGTACCTCGTGATGCTCCTTCCCCCCAGACCTGGTACACCGCACATCTTCCTCCCCGGGAAGAGCCTCCAAGCTGTGTTTTCTCTTTCACGGTCCCCTCCCCTCTTTCTCCATGTCCTGCCTGCCGCCCTCCCTCGCCCTTCCCACTCCTTTCCTTCCAGTTGAACCTAGGGCCCTGTGCACGCCAGCCGAGTGCTCCGCCTCCACAGCATCTCTGGTCCTCACACTCTATTCTCTCTGTCTCCCCAGGGCCAGTTTTGTTGGATGAATTTGTGGAATGGTATAAGGACAAGCAGATGTCCTAGGAGCTCGTGCATAGCAGCGAGAGAGTCACTGTTACCAAGGTTATGTCACCCATTAGCCATAAACTGCTGTTTGTACCGAAGCGCATGCTGCTTTTCTTGCACTGTCTCCCTCTCGGAGGGGTGTCTTGGTGTTTGCTGTTGAATGGGCCGCTCTGCTTGCTGTGTAGCATTGTTCTCTTGGAGGCTACTCTGCAGTTTGTTTTCACACTACAGATGGTGAATCCACCAACGTCCTCACTGTGACTATGTGTATATTGCTGTTTAAATTTTGTATATGTGTATAAAATGAAAAGCTTCACCTAGAGATTATTTCTGCAAAAATGTATTGTAAAAATAATTTTGTGGCATATTTCTAGTCCCCCCCTTTATTATTATTTTTTTTTCAAATGAACTAGTTACACTTTTTTATTTGGTCTCAAATGTAGCATTTCAGAAAACATAAGGGTTTCCATGCGCAAATATTGCCAGGATTAACCTCACCAGTGGCTTAGGAGGCTAACTTCTGGAAGAAGTAGGAGCCGCAGCTTACAGTGGCAAAAGCCAAGTAAGGCTTGGTTTCCTTGTCAGCTTTGGTGTTTTAAAGTGACAAACGTTAGAATTATTGGAGCACGCAGACACATTACCTGCTACAAAGCACTTCAAACACAAAGGTACAGGTTTATAGGCCCCCCCCCCACCCCTTTTTTTCTTTCAGTGCTAACACTGTTGGTAGCTTGACCGTCGGTACAAGTGAACAAATTAAAATCGCTCCTGATTTTAAATTGAAGCTTAAGTTTCCATAAACCTTTCTCTGTTCGCCCCCTTCGTGGCCCTCCGGCAGTGTTGGGGCTGCTGACGCTGTCTGTGCCACCGTCAGTACACTGTCCTCTGCCACCCATGAGCCTGCTGGTCTGCTGGCCGTACAACTGCGAAGCACTTCCGGCTGTGGCTTGAGTTTTTAGTTACTCTTTCATGGTGTCTGCAATCTCCCAAGGTTTTTGTTTGTTTGTTTGTTTGTTTAGTTTAGTTTTTTTTTTTTTTTTAAAGACCACAAGTGAGAGGTGTTTTGTTTTTCTGTCTTTGTTTCTTCTGTGCTAGGCTTTTCCTGGCAACATGTCCATTGCAGGCAGTGGACTCGAAACCACCAGCATTGAGCTAACCCTGTTCACACTGGGACCTTTCCCAGAGGGGCCGCTTGTCATTCCCTGAGTCACATGTACAGAAGGGTAATAGCCATTGAGCGGGTGAGAGAACCAGAGCAAACACAATGGTGTTTCTGGGTTTGTATTTTATGTCTTATTTCTTAAGATTTTTATTTGTTTGCCTTGCCCCTCTTGAGGAAGTGTGTAGATGACAGGTTTTCCCGACTATTTGGTGCTATGAATCACTCAGTTCCTGTAGCTTGTGAAAACATGTATAAGATAGCTGGGTGAATAGTGTCATGGGGTTAGATCTGTGCCTGCCTAGACAGGTAATGACTGGAAGATGTTGAGATTATCGGCCAAAAAAAAATAATAATAATAAAATAAAATCTTCTACATCAAATGTGAACCTTTAAATGGCACTAAATGAGCGAAGCACACAGACAATGCTACCCTTGACCGCTGTTTTACAGTTTCTTTTCAAAGTATTGCAATTGTCATATTATTTCTTTTCCTGACTGAACCACCAAAGACAGAAATTTTGTGTGTATATATTGTGTGCGTGCATCTACAAAATCATGATGTGGTAGAATGCAGCTACTTGCCTTTTCCTACCAAATAATGAGATTTGGTTTGCTGTGAAATAAACCGGAAGTTTAAAAACCAACCACTCAATGTTGCTTTAGCACACTTACTCATCCTTTGCCTGTAGTTTGACTTACAAATTACTGTCTGAACACGATGTAAACTTTCTGGAAATCCACGGCTATGGAGACAGCTGTATAAATGGAGTTCCAGTGCATACAGGTGCGTGACAGTGGGGACTGGCTAAAGGCAGGCTCAGCTCCGTAACCTTGTCACGTATGCCCAAGGTTAAAGTATCCCTCTCTCAGGGTGACTGTTCTTGAGTTGGATCAGCTGTCGATCGCCTCAGTGCAAAGAGGAATCATAGATGGAATTCTTTTAAATGTTGTTTGAGAGCCTGGAGAACATTTTAAACACTAAGCACAGTGAATCTGCGAGTAAAGATTGTTAGCAGGGTGAGGAATTTCATTTCATCCACAGTGAACATTTTGATGATAGAGAATCAAGTAAAATCACCATGGTGTAGAGTGTGGAAGTCAGCATTCCGGAGGGGAAAATCAACATTTAAAACTCCAAATAATCTCTAAACTGCCTCAAGAAACGAACCGCTGTGACTGCTGCTTGCCCTTGGTCTTCTCATTTTTACGGAGCTGCTTTTAAGGGGAGTCATAATACCAAGTACCAAGACACCTTTTCTTGAAGAATTGCCAAGTTACGGAAGTTGAACGATCACCAAGAGCACTTACGGCCATCGCTGGAAGACATCAGGGCGCCTTCGGTTCTCCCACACCTGAGCTACATCCACCCTTCCTCTCCTCGTTTCCATGCATTTTCAACGCCCTCTCCTCCTGTTGGGGAGCGCAACTCGTAGGCGTTTACACTGCACTAGGTAGAAGTTATCTGGCAACATTTGCCAGATACCCATGGTAGCCTTAGGCACGCCTCTTTTGAAGCATGAACTCTGAGTTCAGTATTTATAAGTCTAATTAGACGAACCTCTAGATTCTGTTTTAACAGATTTCTGTTGCCTCTGAGTCGTCATCCTAACCATACTTTTGAAGTTCATACAGAAAGCTTTAAGAGTTTAGTTTATGCCCTTGGTTTTTATTTTTACAACTGCTAAAATACCTCTGTAAGCCTTATCCTTTATCCTTTCATATGTTGTATAAAATTGTATAGAATTCATTGACCAACTGAAATGTTGTGTATCTGTAAATGAGACCAAAATGTGGGTCGCTTTGTTCATAAAATAATTTCTATTGGGCGTTGCTGTGAAATGAACAGTCGCCAGCCTATAACTGTGAATGCCTTGTGTCCTCAGTATTTGCATTACATTCATAAAAGTGTGCAGGTCCTGTGACTCCCAGCTTAGCTAAAATACTGTTATGCCACCTAACTGAGCACAGCAAACTGGTTTAGGTTTTAATGGAATTAATGTAAAATGATATCCCATAAATAAACAGATATTTGTGTTTGGTTTCAGAACGGATTGGTGGCTTATTTGTCCCCTTGGTTTCTCTGCCTAACCCATTTTAGGGTAGCTTTAGAGCACTTTTTTTTTTTTTAACCTCCTTATGTTTTCTCTTAGCCTGTTTTATTAAAAAAAAAAAAAATTAACAGGTTCAGGAGAAAATGCAAGAGTAGTTCAGTGAACATGTAGATTCCTGTTATTTGTGTATATCTTATGGTATTTTCTGTCCCACTCTGTGTGTGTGTGTGTGTGTGTGTGTGTGTGTGTGTTACTTCATACTAATCTCTTATTTATCCAAATCCTGGTGTGAAAAGTGGCTTTCATGCAGACAATCTGAGAAAAGTATTTCTGCTTTGTTCAAGTCACTTATCTTCACAATTCTCTCAGCCCCTAAGACAACAGATGACCCACGTGTAAATGCCACCTCAGGCTTTCTGGCCCCAATCCTAAGCTTGTGGAACAGAGGACCACCCAACAAGGAAGGGCACACATACTACTTTTGGCAGAAAACCTAACTTTTCCCTGGTTGGAATTCATTTCTGCCATCTAAACTCCAGTCGCTTTAACAGAAAATAAGTACATTTTTAGAAGTCATGCTCCACAGGCTGTGCTAAAAACTACAAACTAAAAAAACAAAAACAGAATAACTGGAAAATTGTAAAGAGCATGTGGGAGTAAGTTCCATCTCCCAAAGAAATGAGCTTAGCCTCAAAGAAATTCCTTTGAAGGCACTCTGGGAAAAAAAGTTCTGTGGTGAGTCTGGGCTGTGAGAAAGTCTCCTGAGCGAGCCATGGGTGTCTCTCCCTTAATAACTTAGTAACAGTGACATTTTGGGATCACCAGCAACTTGAAGTTGTAAAATTACAGACTTTCATTCTCCAGAAATGAGAGTAAGTAGGTGAGGAGAAAGCTGCGGCCATCTCCATGGCTGGAGAACTGCGTCCCTGAAGGGTGGGCCAGAGTCCCAAGCCATGCTGGGTGTTTTCCTTCTTTCCACTCAGTCGCCCCTTCCTGTTTCTCTGCCTGTGGTGGCGCTTTTGTATTCCATCCCGAGAGTGAGGGTCAGGCGAGGCTGTAATCCTCTGACAGTCTGAAAGCACATGTGAAATAGCACATGCCTGTTCGTAGCCTGTCCGTGTGTCTCAGTGCTCATGAACCCTTCCCTCTCAAGGTTGATTTTTCAGACTCTCGGTATAACCACCAAACTTCAGTTGTGTATTCAGCCGACTTTCTGGGTAAAACTGGTAAGAGCCTGGATAAAGACCAAAAATGTAGAGTCAACAGATTGAAAAATGAGAGTGGGAAGCCTTCAATCAGGGGTGCATTAATTATTCTCTGTCACTGAGGTAAAATCATGACCAAATATAAATCACGGAGTTTATTTGGGCTTACAGTTCCAGAGGAATAAGAGTCTGTGGTGGCGGGGAGTCACAACAGTGAGCTGTCCTGGTGACCAAAGCAGGAAGCTCAGAGGTCACGTCCCTAACTACAAAAGTGAAACAACTGAAAGTAGGGTTAGGGTCTGTAACCCCAAAGGTCACCCCCCAAATCATGTACTTTCTTAAGCAATGTTGCAGCATCTAAACCTCCCCCAACAGCAGCATCAACTGGGAATCGAGTGATCAAATATGTGAGGCTATGGGGGACCTTCTTACTCCAACCACCACAGTGGGCACGAGCCACCTGCCTACAGTAGGTCAGAAGACACAGACTCAGTCAATGTCTCAGCTGAAACATTGTGTGTGCAGGGGGCTCAGTGAAGGAAACAGTCTCCTCAGAGCTCATCTGCACACCTCTGGATCTAGCTTTGCTAGTCAGTCAGAAGCCTGGATATCTGCCAGCTGGGAGTTCACAGGTGTAGTTGCGTCTAGCCGGTGGCCAATGGACATGACAGCTAGTTATAGAACAGAAGGCCATCAGGCCAGACAGAATTCTCTACACTGAGCTTATTGACCAGTCTGGAACATTTTAGGAAGTGTAGAGAGAAAATGAAGGTAAGAGGAAGATACATTTTGTTTCTGGGTTTCGTCCACAGTTCCTGAACTACCCCTTCCCAAGGCAAGGCCATACAGGCTAGAACATCTCTTATCCAAGTTAAATCATGGAAGCTCTTCGCCCCCTCCCTGGTCTTGGATTAAGCGTAAGTTATTTGACTTATCTAACTTGGTATGATAGTCACAGACCTATTCCTCCTAGCGGGGCGCTGCCCCATAACCTGGAAAAACCGCCACCCCAGAGACCAAGGAGAATCTGGACAGGCCTTGCTGTTTTCCGCCCAGCCCACTAATGCTCGGCGGTATACTTCCTGTGCCACCATGTTTCAGCGAGTTCCCCTTGCCTCATGTATGCCAGCCAAATGCAAAGGACGGGAGCTTCTGAACGCCTGAGGATGGCAGTTACCGGGGGTGGGGGTCCCAGACAGTGTGCAGGAGCTCCATACGCTTGCCATGTCATTGGTGTTCTTTGAAGTGTCCTTTATAAAAAGCTGGTAGATTGCAATGTACCCTCAGGTCCTGTGGACTCACACAAATTAACTCAAAAGAGCAGATATGAAACCCGTGTAATAGCCAGCCGATTAAAAACAGCAGTAAAATGCCCAGTGTTCATGACTGACATTTGGAAGTCAAGGACTCAGTCCCAATAACTGAGCCTCAACTATGGGATCTGACGCTATCTCAAGGAAATAGTGTCAAAATTGAATTATAGGACATCTAGCTGCTGTTTGCTCTCAGCAGTCATCTGTGCTGGAAGGATGCGTTAGGAAAAGATTCATTTTTCTCACACAGAATCTAGCTTTTTCTTTTTCTTTTTCTTTTTCTTTTTTTAAGTTAAGGCCTTTATCCAAACAACTGGTAAACTGAGATTTCTCCCCATTCCTATGTGGTTGGGGAGGCACAAGACACCACAGACTCCTGTGAGGAACAATGAAGGTTGAAGTGGACAATTTCTGTGGGCTGCTTCAGTTACGAATCTCACACGTGCCCTGTTGGGATTCAGACCTGGGACAAGTGGCTGAGGAAGTGGACCTGGTCTTCAGTTTCTCCCAGCACCCCTCAGTCCCTACCTGTTACAGGGCGTGGCTGGCACACCCAGCCCTCTACCCTGAACTTTCCAACCCAGGCTTGGGCTTCCTCTTCCCCAGAGGACCTTCACTATATAATCCAGACATTTCGGTTCCCTTCCCTCCCCTGACCCTCACATTTCTCTGTGTGTGCATATGCTCTTTCTTATCAGTACCCACTTCTCTGACTCCCTGCCTGCATGGCGGCGTCCCCGGCCCCCACTCCTTGGGGCCACTGAACCTGCCCAGGTGCTGCTCCCAATAAACTTGCCTTTCTACTTTAATTTGTCTTGAATTGGCCCATTTCACTGGCGGAGAGAATCCCTATTATCTCCTCTTCTGTCACACCCTGGTACCCCTGATCCACCCTTCCCTCCCTGAATTTTCCAGAATGCCATATAAATGGAATTTTATAGTAACCACTCTTCTTGGTATATACAATGGCTTAAATATTAGATATAAAATTAATACTTAAATGTGTTATATCAACCTGACAATTGTTATAAGGAACTTAGAAAAGGGAGAAATGGGAAGAGGGAATGTAGAGGGAGGAAGTAGGGAGAGAGAGATGACTTAATAGCTGCCCCCAAATTTGAATGTTGGAATTCCAACTTACAGTATGAGGGCATTAGGAGATATCTGGGTCATGACAGGATTAGCATCTTAAAAAAAAAAAAAAAGCCTCTAAAGAGTATTCTTCCTGCCCTTGGAGAAATGAAGGAAAAGTTGTGGTGTGCCGTCTGGAAAAGGATGCTCTGTAGAATCTGACCATGCTAGTACTCTGACCTTAGACTTGCAGAGCTGTGAGAAGTGCATTTCTATTGCTTATAAGGTACCTAGTCTATTGAACTTTGTTATAGACGCCTAGATTGATAGGACTGGCACATATAACACGTTGTGACAGTGGGAGGAAATACTGGTGACAGTTACGGTCCTCATGTCTGTAACTGGTCATGTGAAAGCCTGACATAACTGTCTTACTATTACCCATGCTGCATTCCTTGCCTTCAGCAAGCATGCCAGCTGCTCTTAGTTAACCGGGTAGAGAGAACCACACCTTCACCCTGAAGCGTCCCAGCATTAGGAGTCTTTCCTACACCGGGCTATCATAATTGTCCTCGTTCTTCCTTTTTAAATGTTGTGTTACTTCATTTTGAGATAGGGTCTTATGTAGGCTACACTGGCCTCAAACTCACTATGTAGCAGAAGATGACTTTGAACTTAGGGTCCTTCTGCCTCCAAGTGCCGGGATTACAGCTGTGCAACATCATGACCAGTTTGTGTTGTGCTGGGGATGGAACCCCGGGCATGTGTGCATACTAGGCAAGGGGCCCTTCCGGGTGAGCTGCAGCCCCATAGCCTTTCTTTTGAGACGTAATGCCCCAACGATCTTCTGTCTTCTCAAGCTGCTTTCTTTGCTCCTGCTGTGGAGTTTTTCTTTGTGCACTTAGAGAATGCCCGACTCACCCACAGTGGCGTGTGCACAGCATAGCTTGCAATCAAGAAATTTGACTGGGAGAGGACAGGAACTCCACAAGGACAAAATACATCAGGGCACGGGGGTTCTCTATGAGACTGTTTCTCCAACCAAGGACCATGTATGGATATAAGGTAGAACCCCTGCTTGGATGTAGCCCATGGTAGCTCAGTATCCAAGTGGGTTTCCCTAGTAAGGGGAGCAGGGACTATTTCTGACATGAACTCAGTGGCTGGCTCTTCACACACACACCCTACCCTCCTGAGGGAGGAGCAGCCTTGCTAGGCCATAGAGGAGGACATGGCAGCCAGTCCTGAAGATACCTGATAAACTAGGGTCAGATGGAAGGGGAGGAGAACCTCCCCTATCAGTGGACTTAGAAAGGGGCAGGGAGGGTGGGGTTGGGAGGGAATGAGGGAGAGGCTGGGGTACAAAGTAAATAACCTGTGATTAATATAAAAAACAAAAATAATAAT